AACATGCGATGGTTTCTTCTTGCTGCCTCAACAATCTTGAAGACTGACAGAGGGGAACACAACAGACCTGAACAGAATTTGTTGTCAGGGACTGCAGCAGAGATGAATACTATAGTACATATTTATGTCATCATGTGAAGATTGATACTCTCAGGCTGTGACAAAATACAACCCTGTGACTCAGTGAACATGAAAGTCTTCCAAGATGAAAAGTCCTTATTTGAAGGAAGAAAAAAAGACTAATGGGTTAGTGCTGCTATTGATGGAAATGATGTCTGTTAATGATGGGAAAGCTGGAAACACAAATTGAGAAGCTGTCAAGATGTGTGCACTACAACTCAGTAAACTGACTGTGATCAGATTACAGAAGGGAAAAGAACATCTGTAATTTATCAAGTTACAAGCAAAGACTGTATAATAAGAGAGTCTTTAGCATTAACTAAAGAAAGAACATGCTAATGATACAGCTTGTAAATGAGCTCATGTCTCTCCCTGTTTAAACTTCCAGATAAAGCTCAAAGACACTTTGACAAAAACCAAAGACACAACCCAAAACAAACCAGAAAACCAGCTGTAACAACCCATACACTATGATTTCGTGTACACCACCTCTTTCACTCTAGCTCTGCTACATGTTCTCTGATAACAGTCATCATTATTTCCAGATCAAAAGAATCAGAAAAAAAAAAAATCAAATATTCTTTTCCATACTAGCTGAACAGTCCTCAGTTGAACCTCACTGCTCTTACAGAAATACAACTCCACATTTAAGCAAGATAAGAAATTACAGGCTTGCAGTTTTAAAGGCATGAGACTGGTTGATCATTCTCCTACCTCCATCGGAAGATTACACGTGATTTTGGAAAAAAGTTCTCCCAAAGTGGACAGTCTTGGTTATTTGATTTTCAGAAGGCCCCACTACTTAAAACTCCACATCTCCATTGACTTTACTAAAGCTTCAACAACCTGCAGCAGCTGATGACCAGACTCTTCCATAGGCAGATGCAAAGAACTCAAGCCAAATCTCAAGTCCTGATCCTGTAGTTGAACACAGCTCCAAAAGGCTCCCTCGCGTGCAGGGCTTTCTGCCCACTTGCAGCTTAAAACATTTATTGGAACACTTCAGTATAATTTCTGCTACTTTCTTCCTTTTTCTGCTGCACTAACACCGCTTACTTATTCTCAAGATGCAACAGGGGATGAGGTTCTGTGTGGTTTGGCTTGGGTTTTTTTAAGCTTCTAATACAAATGTCCATGTCATGAGCAAATTTATTGGAACATGAAAGCATTTTTCTTTTCTTTTAGTACAACCAAATGGATTAAGTGTCATATTCTACGTAACAGTGCTAGGATGTTGTGTGGACTCAGAACTTTGTAGCTTTAGAATAAATTTATTACAACATTTTGAAAATCTCAGACCTGCACCAATGTCACCTTCTATAATCCTGTTTGAAAACATGCCATTAAAAGCATTCAAGGAAATACACTCAAGGAGTGTAATTTCTTATTATAGTAGGAACAATTGGTCTAAAATTATCATCTCTGTAGTACTCTTGTCTCTAGCTGTGATTTTATGTAATCCCAACATTTGAGCCAAGTAGAAGTAGCAGTTCCTTCCTCTTTTCATTCCTTGGACTTTTCAGTACATTCCTGGACAGATCCAGTACAAAGCCTCTATCACTGCAGCTTCATACAAGCTGAAGTGGTACAAAAGCCAGTTTAAAATCACTAGCATCAAGAAATGCTTCTGGGACCAACAGACACCACAACTGGCCACAGAAAGCAACGCATATCAGAAAGGCAGATCCCATCCTCTACTCAGGAAAGAAAAACTAGAAAGGGTTGTAAACATTTTTGGAACCTCATTCCTCCATACCTTCTCCTGTGCCTTTTGCCCTGTCAGGTCTAAATCTTTCCTTTTGTGTGAAGGTGCTTATTTAATTCTGTACAAGACCCTTCCAGAACCAGTATTCCTAGTTAATTTCTGAGACCTTTCAGAAGCAGCAGTCAGCTTCAAAAATCATAATCTTCCCTTCCACTAAACAAGACTTTGCTATCACTAAAATTATTTGCAGCTTCCTTTTTCCACTGATTTTTTTTTTTTTTCATGATTCCAAGACTAAACCCCGCTCTATGCTTAACAAATTCCCAGAAGCATTTGATGTGTTCCCAGCTGTGCAGGTTAGTTAGCACATCAGATACTTGTTTCTACACACAAACATTTAAATGGTAGTGTTTGCCAAGTGCTAGCCTAAAGCCAAGATACTCCACAGGTGTCAAATAAGGAGGAAAAAATAGAAGATCATATAGTGTAGTAAATGAGAATGAAAATTACCAGTGTGTGGGAAGACTGTATAACCTTCAGAAACAGGAGCTACTTGGCTAACTTAAAATTTTAACTGCTTGCCTCCCCTGAGCTGAAAAGGTCACCTAATCCTCAGAAAAGATTAATTGGATATAAGGAGTTGAATCTACACTAAAATCAAACTGTTGAAGTGTGGTGTGCAGAGCTTGCCAAGCAAAAGATTCACTTCTTACCTTCTTGGTGGTTCCAAATCCAGACAAAAGACAACTGGAAACTCTGGGCCCTGAAAACAAACTCCTGGTATAAACAAAGCTCTCTTCATTTTCTGTATGCTTCTGAAAAAATGCAAATCTTTGGACAAACTCACTTTGCAAAGTACAATGGCTTACATTAAACAGGAAGTACTTATCTCCTCATGGCTTTACAGATGCTGCATATTCTAGAAAGAAGAAAATGTATTAATTATGGAGGCAAGAAACCAACATGCAGGATCCAACACAGCTGAAGGCCTTCCTTGACTTACACCTCATATGTTTCCAACCATTGCATTTCCAACCAGAGTTGGGAAATCACCTTTGAAATTAAGAAAAGACCTGAATTGAAAAATATCTTGAAAAATTAAAAGAACAAGGTATAGAAAATTCACAAAAATGTTAATGCTTTAGTGTAAGAAAATACAACTTGTCAATTTTGTCAAGCCTTACATTACAGCATGGCTGTGATATCTGGAATTAAAATTAACAAAAAAACAAAATCAAAACCCTTCCTCCAAATACAGACACACCTCTCATATACATGAGTACTAAGTCCAGGTGGAAATAATTTACTTAAGAATTCTTGAGTGATGCATGGTAAAATAATTTTATGTTCCTTCCCCCCAACCTGGTCAAATAATAATACAATATAGTGTTGAACAGACTGAGAATGGCTTTATGTTAAGAACCCAGGTGTTACCACATTAGATCATGGTGCTCTTCCAAGTGTGGTTTTAATAGCAAGTGGGCTGTGACTATTTCAACAAATACTAGGAAAACTTTTTAAGCCAACTTTCTTCTCTTGTAGACAGTAGAAAGCATTATTCTTGCAAATCAACACAGAATTTTAACCAGTAATCACTCCATGGCTCACTCTAGTCAAGGTTACTGAACACAGAAGAAATCAACAGCTTCAGCCAGTTACACCAAATGGCAAAAAGGTCTCCATCCTACAAATGTGACATCCCTGGGGCTTCCTGTGCACTTTCAAGACTAAGCCAGAGGAAACACACCAAAGCTACCACCAAAGTCAAACAATTTTCAGTTCTTTTCCATTAACAGATTTAAATTCCCTACCACAGCAGTTAAGGGAGAAGCTGGCACTAAATATACACACTTGGAATTTTGTTTTTGTAGTATCAACAGAACTCACCAGACTGCTTAGAAGACTCATTCCATTCCATCAACTTAGACAAAAGCTTTTTTCCACTTTACTACCCAGAATGTCCACAAATAAGTTCAATTACACAGAAAGGTCCACCTAGACTTCATTATTCTACTTTCTTGATTAGAAACTACTAACTGGAGGAATAATTTGTCAGAGTCAATGCAAAATAGCATTTCTCACTTAGCTGTGACAGGGAAGCCAACACATAAGAAATTAGAGACTTAGAAGAAAATATGACAATTTTGTTATTAATTAATAACTTTTATAGCTCAAATTTAAAAATATTAAATCAGAAACAATTCAAGAATCATGAAGAAAAAGCTGGAACTATATACATGCATAATTAAGAGTATCTAGATTCTTGTAAATATTTACCTAATTCTTTTGTACAAGTTCTTTCACAGAATCGTATTTACAACCATGTCTGTTTAAAACATATGAACATTCTTTTTTAAATAGCATTTACAAATAATTTGAATATAATTTATTTTTCTTAAAAACAAAATAGTATTTCATTGATTTGACAGATTTGGCTTCATCATATGGTTCTGGACAGGTATTTATCCAGTGGGATAAAAAGAGTGATCATTATTAAATTATCTAAGTAACAGGCATCCTACTGGTAGCCAGAATTATCATGTATGGCTTTAAATACCTCCCAAACTCAAAGGATCATCTTATAAGTACGAACTACAGCCCACAGTCCAGTGTGGTATGTTTCTAATTATGATTAATTCTATAATTATTTACTTAATTCTATTATTATTTAAAGTTTTAAGCCTTTGTTTGGGTTAGATCCACAACTCAGGAAACATTCTAAGCACACACTCAGAAATAAGAGGCCCTTCTATTTTAAAGGAAAAACAACTTTGCTTCCAATCAAGTAATGCACATATTAAGTACATATAAAATGGGATGTATGGACTTTTCTAGACATTCTAACTACCTTTATAGGTGTTTTATTATTGTGGGATAACTCTTTTGAACAGACAATATTTGTGGGGGTTTACAGGAATCAAGTGAGAGATCTGGTAAGAAGGGAAAAAATACTTTTCCTCAAAACATGAATATTTTTTAGAAAAAGAAAGTCTGAGGAGCTTTTGTACAACTGATACAATCCAACAAGTCAGGTCACCATCTAGTAACACACTATGGCTTCTCAAATTAACTGAAAATTCATCAGCTTGCTTGCTTTGGGCTAGGAAAAAGAAACAAACCAACCAAACTTTTGGCTTTAGCAAATCAAGTAGCCACCTCCTTTGAACACTGTTCTCTAGAGCTCCTGCACTGATTGTTCCACAGTTTGTTCTTCTACAGGCTGCACAGCTTCCTGAACATAAACGATGAACTCTGAAGCTTCTCCACCCTGAGTATAGACAGTCACTGTCTCAATTCCCTCCATTTCATCTGATGAGACTACCAGATGATGCTGCTCAGACAGCTCCACAGAAGCCTGCTGCAGTGTCTTCTGAATCATCAAAGTGTGATTGGCTGATTGCTCCTCTTCTTTTACCTGAGGAGAAATGGAAGAGGTTACAGAAATTTCACCTTTCCAAGAAGCACCTGAATGGGAATATAAAATGGGAATATAAAAATTAGTAATTAGATTGTTTTGGAAGAAAATGTCAGTTTTACAGAAAGTTTTGGGAGCATTTTTGATCAATAGGTGTATAGCTAGGCAGAATACTGAAAGCAGGAACACAGCATCTCAGTTATATGCACAGAGCTGCAATGTTCCAGGAACACAGGTCTTTGGAGACAGTTTAATCTCTAAGCAGTCATTCATTTAGAACTGCTCTTATGTACATAAATCAAACAGTTCCTCTGGTAGCACTGAGATAAGAATCCATCAGAAACCATATTAAACAACATCTAATGTACCCATTTCTCTCTTCTTCTTTTTCCCCCCTATCCAAAAGATTGCACATAGAAGTAAAAATTTCAAACCCTAAAGGACTTCCATTAGAAAACTGAAATGTAAATATTACTAAAAGAGATTCCTGAGACCTGCTTGTTTGTGAGGGAGCAATTTTTATATTATTGAAAGGATAGTGACAGAAACAATTGAAAATAACAGAATTTTTATTGAACTTTTTCTTCTAGTCAAGAAGAAACACAACAAAATTTGGTATCAAATTTCAAACAGCTGTCTGTCAATTACTAAAACACAGTACTTACTAGAATTCCAGATCAAATCTTAATTCTTTACCAGATCCACAGAGAACTCCTATGCAAAATAATTCAGGCCAGTAAAAACATATCAGAAAACATCAGAAAGTTGTGTGAAGAAAAAGCATTCTCGAGTGTTAGTTACAAAATAATGTACTTTTTCAGAAGAGAATGGAATAACATTTTTTTTGCATGCAAGATATATGCAAAAGCATTTGTTAGATGTTTTCAGTACAATACCACTGCCTGTGCTCAGTGAAGAGAGGTGTTTTATTTGCTGGATCATAAAATGCCAACCCACCTGCAAATGCAACACACAGTTAATCAAACCCTCTCTTCCTTCTCTTTTTAGAAAATGGGTTGGTTTTGCTAAGGCCTGTTTCTCCTTCATTTAGGCTTAGCAAATGCTTTGTGAAGTAAGCTTCCAGAGACAAATCATGTTTATTTCTCACCGTAAGAAAGCAGCTGATTGAATTTGTAGGTCACATTCTCTACAACAGGCACTTTTTTCATATCCTCAAGTGCACCTATAAAATCTCCACTTACACAAAGAACAGGGAATGAAGAAAGAATCACTGGCTCACCCACATCTCATGATGGAAAGCAAAAGTCCATGGTATTTCCAATACCATATGAAGTGTAATAAGAAGAGAACAAAGGACTGATAGGTATCAATGTCCTGGATGTCAGTGTGCCCTGGTATCTCAGAGCAGTAGATGACGGGCTATTGGCTGCAATAAACTCGTAAGCCATTTTGAAAAGAATAGGACAAACATGGCAGATTTCACAAAGTACGGAAACTAAATTATGCAAATTAGAAAGGTGCTATTTTTTATAAAGAAGTTGATTCAAAAGTTCTTTTCCAAGTCTCATTGATCTGACACTGTTTTGTAAACCTTAGTATTAGAACAACCAAGTTCAAGAAATTATGATTGAGACCAGTTGCTTAAGAAGGGAATGAAAACAGAAGGGAAGAACTACAGTTAAGCTTCCAAACGTGCTTGAGTCCTTAGAGACCAGCAAGAAGAAAAAGAAGTTCTGTATGTTTGTTTTCCTCATGGTGTGTTTTTTTTTTTTCTAATTTCATTTTTTTGCCCCCTAAGCAACCATTCCCAATGCTGTATGTTGTCTTTTTAACTGTTTGATTCCATGTTTAAAATATCTACCAGATCACAAAGATTTCAGAGAAGCACCAATCCCTTAGTACTTTATATCACTTTGAACTTTCACTCAATTCATCAGGCCATACAAAGCTTTTTCTTGAACTTGTTATAACAAGTATGTTCAGGTGTTAAATCATTCAAAGGTCCCAGAGTCAGTACGCCTGTGATACCTTGATGAAATATATCTGGATTTTATCTGGTGAAAATTTTAACTTCTGAAGAAAATCTTGTAATTGACCTTAATGCAACAGCACAATTGTACCTGCTGGCACCAACTCTGGCTTTGTTGCATGAATTCAGATCACAGGGATAAAACTACAGGAATGGGCTGAAGTCCTCTCCATGTTGTTTCTTTTACCAAGCATATCTGAACGTTTTAATTGAAAGCTACTTTAAACAGCTCCTGCTGATGTTCAAGCTCAATGTCCTACAAAAGTAGGTGATGCTGGATTCTTGACACAGTAAAACTTGCAACTGCCCAGAGAAAAACTAATTTGGGTTGTCACAAAATATGGGCATCACCAAAGTACACTTTACTAATGGAAGTTTGACTGTCTCATTAAAAAGCAAGGAATTACAACATGAAAAGAAACAGCACTGTTAACTTTGCTCTCCTGTTCCTCTCCATGAGCCCCTTCTCTTTTTTTTTAAAAAAAAATATTAAAGAAACCTTCAATCCTACTGAAATCAATAGGATTTTTGTGAATTAGAATATAATACATTATTTCAGTTGGAAGGCACGTTCAACAATCATCTAGTCCAACTGCCTGGCCATTTCAGGGCTGACCAAAAATTAAATCATTCTACCAAGGGCATTGTCCAAATAACTCTTAAACACTGACAAGCTTGGGCATTGACCACTTCTCTAGGAAGCCTGCTCCAGTGTTTGACTGCCCTCTGGCCAAATAAATGCTTCCTGATGTCCAGTCTAAACCTCCCCTGGCACGGTTTTGAACCATTTCCACACACCCTATCACTGCTCCTCCCTCCTCTCCCCTTTCCCTA